AAGACAGGCATTCAGGGCCTCAGCCTCACCCAACCCTTTTCCAAAGCTGACCTTGACCCCATACTCCCAGACCAGGCGCCAGAAGTCTAGCAGCGTGTGAGGCAGGGGTCCTTGCGTGGCAATGTAGGCTTGGCTTCCGTCTGCACCCTGATAAAGAACATGTTCACTAGCAATCTCACCGCCCAGTGCCCCCTCTGGCCCCCCTCCCACCTCCCTCCCAAATCCCAAGGCTAACCCGAATGAAGTTGCCATTGATGTAGTCACCGTGTCCCTCCTCCTGGAGCAGGGAGAGGATCACTCGAGTCTGATCATCTGCCAGCAGGGGAGGTGAGAAAGGTGGGGGTTAGCACTGACAGAGCACCAAGGCACTGACAGCCCCCTGGGTGAAAGCCAGGGGGACCCCACACCCAGGGGGATCCCACTGAGGAGCCCCAGTGGGCTGAACACAATGCAGCCATGGCGGGTCTCTGAGCGGGTGAGCACCCAAGGCAAGTGGGGTCACTGGAACATCTGGGCTGTGGCCGGGACAAGCACACAGGGATCCACTTACAGGGCAGCACGTCTTTGTAGCGGTTTTTTCGCAGATTCTCTGGCTGACAGGCGGCTTCGGTAGAGCACACTCCGTCAGTCTTCAAGGCAGCTGAGCGGGCCCGGATGTCCTGATGGGCGGCACGGGGAAGGGATGAGTGAGAAAAGAAAGGAGCCACATCAGAGTCCTGGGGCACCAATACACTTGCAGAACACAGGTGAGTGACTGGGGGAGGTGCGCGGACCCCAGTTAGTACATTAGCACAGGGCCTTCCTGATACCAACGGTACAATATGTAAAAGCAGTCCAGAGCGCGCTCTCTGTGCTGCCTGTGATAAGGGCATTTAATCATCACAAGGTAGTCCCTACCACTATTATTGATGTGCCCATTGTGCAGGTGGGAAAGTTGATGGGGCACGTGGTTGAGCAACTTGCCAAAGGTCCCACCAGGCAATGGCACTAGCAGGGCTGAACTCAGACCTCTTAGCACCCATCCCTGCACACTAACCCCAGTCACATTGTATTGCAAACACTAATAACTATAATGAAACACACTGCTTACTGTGACTAAACATGTTACTACATCAATTATAATGTATAACATACAAGAAAACTTAAAAACGTTTGTGGAGAAATAGTATTAAAAGCAGTTTATTTTGGTGAGAGAAGTTTCTAATTCTATGTGTTTGGTTTTTGTTTCTTGGGGTTTTTTTTGTGGGGGTTTTTTGAGAGGTTTTTGCTATAGGACGCGTGTGCTCGCCAGAAAGACAGAGACAGAAAGCGAGAAATCACCCCCACAGGGGAAATGACCAGGCCCAAATCCCTTTTCCTCCATTCTCATCTGGGGATCTTGGGCACACGCCCGGCGTGAATTTAAGTCACTGGGACCGGGACTCAAACTGCGGTGGACTACATGGAAGTCCAGTGACATAGCCATTATGCCAATTGCTGGTCCCAGTTTTGTTTTGTTTTGTTTTGTTTTTTAGAGGTTTTTGCTATAGGGTGTGGGCGCTCACCAGAGAGACAGAGAGAAACAGAGAGACAGAGAAACCACCCCCGCCCCCAGGAGGGAATGGCCACGCTACAATCCCTTCTCCATTCTCCTCTTGGGATCTTGGGCAGACACCGGTGTCCGGTGTGAGTTTAAGCCACTAGGTACAGGACTTGGACCACGGGCGACTACATGGGAGTCTAGCGACATAGCCATTATGCCAACTGCTGGTCCAAGGTTGTTTTTTTTGGTTTTTTTTTTT